AGAGCCTGCCTGCCCACAAGGGGCAAGTGTGTAGGGCAGGAGGGAGTGTGTCCTGGCCACTCTGTGTGAACAGGAGGGACCCCCGCCCCAGATTTGGTTTGAATGTGGAGACTGGTGATGCCACACCCACCAAGAGGTTATGAAAAGGTTCCCTCCTCACATCCTGAGCTTTCTGGCGGAGAGCAGGGCAGGTCCCCACACTGGTCAGAACATGGCTTGAGAGGTCATGGAAAGGAGACGGGCAGGGCTCTTTGTCAAGGTTGGGATTGGGGGTGGGGGTGTGGAGGGCGGGCTCAAGGGGTGGGGGTGGGGGTGGGGGCAGAGGGATGAGGCATCACAGCTGTGGGCAGCCAGACAGCAAGACAGCAGAGTTGGGAGCCAGGTTCTTGATTACAGAGCGGCCCACTGCGAGGGCTGCCGGGAGGAAGCAGTTGGGAGGTGGCCCATGACCTTAGCGGGCACTCTATGGCCTGAACGCGTGCGTCTCTCCTGCCAGATCATATGGCGAAACCCTAACCCCAAGGTGATGGTGTTGGGAGGGGGAGGGCTTTGGGGGCTGATTAGGTTAGGAGGGCAGAGCCCTCAGGAATGGAATGATGAGATTCCAGAGGGACCCCTTGTCCCTCCCACCACGTGAGGGCGCGGTGAGAAGAGGGCTACCTGCAACCCGGAAGAGGTTCTCACCAGGACCCCACCATGCTGACACCCTCATCTTGGACTTCCATTCCCCAGAACGGTGAGAAGGAAATTTCTGTTATTAGCCACCCAGTGTGTGGTATGTTGTTATATTGCCTGAACAGTCTAAGATAAGGATGGGGGTGGGGTGGGAGACAGTCTCATGCATCAGGGGCCAGATTTGAGGGACCAAGTGCAGAGCATGCGGGAGGGCATGGAATCCAGTGGCACTGAGACGGGTGGCAGGGGAGGGGAGAGGGACCCTGAGTGAGGCTGCTGGGTTTGCTGAGGACGGGAGGGGAGAGGCTTGCACAGAAAGTACTGATGGAAAGCAAAGGGGCAGCCCTAGCTGGTTTGGCTCAGTGGATAGGGTGTTGGCCTGCGGACTGAAGGGTCCCAGGTTCGAATCCCATCAAGGGCACATGCCTGGGTTGCCGGATCCTCCCCAGCCCGGGCGCAGGTGGGGGCGCGTGCAGGAGGCAACCAATCCATGTGTTTGTCTCCCATCAATGTTTTTCTCTGTCTCTCCCTCTCCCTTCCACTCTCTCTAAAAATCAATGGGAAAATATCTTCGGGTGAGGATTAACAACAAAAAGAAGAAGAAAGGAAAGGGGCAGAGTGGGAAGAACGGGTGACAGTGGAACTTGGTTCTCAAGTATTGAGAAGGTTCCAAGGACAAGTGGTAACTGGACTTGAACGAGTCTGCCCTTCAACCGAGTGCTCCTCGGGCGAAGGCCCCTGGGGAAGGTGGGAGTGGCTCGAGCACTTTGGATATGGTCCCATCTTTGAAGATCTCCCAGGCCTAGCCCGGCTGGTGTGACTCAGTGGTTGAGCTTCAACCTATGAACCAGGTCACAGTTCGATTCCCGGTCAGGGCACATGTTTGGGTTGTGGGCTCGATCCCCAGTGTGGGGCGTGTGCAGGAGGCAACTGATCAATGATTCTCTCTCATCATTGATGTTTCTCTCTCTCTCTCTCTCCCTTCCTCTCTGAAATCAATAAAAATATACAAAAAATTAAAATAAAATCAATAAAAATATATTAAAAAACAAAGATTCCCAGGCTCGCCCTAGTTGGTTTGGCTCAGTGGATAGAGCATCGGCCTAGGGACTGAAGGGTCCCGGGTTCGATTCCGGTCGAGGGCACATACTTGGGGTGTGGACTCGATCCCCAGTGGGGGGCGTGCAGGAGGCAGCCAATCAATGGTTCTCTCTCATCATTGATGTTTCTATCTCTCTCCCTCTCCCTTCCTCTCTGAAATCAATAAAGATATATTTAAAAAAAGAAAAGAAAAAAGATTCCCAGGCTTTCCTGGGACCCTGCTGGGCACAGCCTTCCTCTGCACCCTGAATACCCCTCCCTCTTCTCTGCCTCCTGTGAGCTTCAGCCTTAGCCCCTCCTTTTCTCCCCTCCCTCCCTCCTTCATGTGATCCGCAATAGCAGGATGGGCCCCGTGAGGAGGGGACTGTGGCTTACTCGGTGTAGAGGCACCGATAAGGGTTAGATAAGGCAGTGTGGCAAATACCATAGAATCCTCTTCTGCTACGATTGTCTGCTCCACCTTTATTGATTGCCTTCACTGTGCGGGGCCTAGGGATGATCCCTGGGAGAGGTCAAGGCTCCAGGAGTTGGGGAGAGAGGGGACATGCCAGAGAGGGGAGTTGGTGACAGGTGACAGGAAGAGAGGGCCTCCTCAGTGGGTGTGCCCTGCTGGTAGGAGACAAGGTGCTGCCTAGGGGTTTGCCGGTTCCAATGGGTGGCTGGTGAATTATTCATTTATCAACCACTGCACCCAGGCTGCCTGCCAGGAGGATGCCCCGTGACCCAGGGCTTGAAAAATTAATGTGTTCATTGAGTCATTCCCTCGACTCACATTCACGGGCACCTACTGCTTGCTGAGCTCAGCCTCTTCACATCACGAAAGGCCCAGGGGAGCAGCGAGAGTCCCAGCTGCACTGCTTAACTGGCGAACACAGTGGGCGAGGAGGTGACAGGCAGGGGCCAGAGGAAAGAGGGCTATGGTTTGGGGGCGGGCACGTGCGTACACGTGTGCACCTCTCTGTCAGTGGTGGGAGTGCCTGATGGGCATGTGTGTGTTTATGTGTGAGCGCATGGAGAGCATGTGTAAAGCGCATGGATGTGGGAAGCTGGGATCCCTGAAGACCCACAGGTCCTTTAGGTGGGTGCTCCAGGCTGGGGAGAAGGTGGCACTGCTCCTGGCCCAGGGGCACACACCAGCGACAGAGTGCTCAAGGCATGACAGGGGCCAACAGCACCGGGGCTGGAAGCCTGAGCCTTTCCATGCACGCATACATGCATTTGATGCGCGCACACAGGTACTCAGCCCAGAGGGCCTGAGCCTTGCCTGGGCCAGAGGGAGCTGGGGAGAAGGATGTGGGGCGGGACTTCCTTCACTGGGCTGAGCATGCGCAAAGACGCTCAGCTGGGACTTCATCATCTTCAGGGAGCTGCCCTAGGTCCTTGCCATGAGTGGCAAAGTGGTGGCACCTGAGGCTGGTGACCCCACAAGGACTGGCATGTCAGGCCTAGGCTGCCCATTCAGCCTCACATTTTAGGAAGCTCACTCTGGTGGCTGACATTGTGGGCCAAGGAGTAGCGCCCCCCAAAGATGTGCCCACGTTCTCATCCCTGGAACCTGTGAACGTGACCTTATTGGCAAAGGGGGTCTTTGCAGAAGTAATGAAGTTAAGGATCTTCAGATGAGACCATCCTGGATTACCCTGGTGGCCCCCAATACAATGTGTCCTTATGTGAAGGTGGAGGCAGAGATGGGAGTGATGTGGCCACAAGCCAAGGGATGCCTGAGACCACCAAAAGCTGGAAGAGGCGAGAAAGGTCCTCCCCCCAGAGCTTCTGGAGGGGGCACGGCTCTTCAGGCCCCAGTTTCTGACTTCTGGCCTCCATAATTGGGAGATGGTAAATTCCTGTTGTTTTAAGCCCGCAGCTTGTGGTCATTTGTTTCAGCAGCCACGGGAAACTTAGCTGGCTGATGTGGAGAGAAGACTGGGGGAGCTGGTGGGGTGGGGGTCTGAGGAGGGGGAT